GGTAGTCACCTCACCGTGTCCCATTGAGCCTATAGCACCGGTGAGGAAGACAAACGAGGCTGATGCCGCTTGGGCAACTAGAGAGAGGGATTTTACATCCCAAAAGATGTCCTATAACCTTGAGCATAGAAAGTGGGTCACTGCCAACAAAAAAAATGTTTGGCTGTGATAAAGAATACGATTGAGCCTACAATTGTGGGCTCAATCCCAGAGTGTGACATGACCACCGAGTACCTCGATAGAATAAAGAATCGGTTTACTGGCTCTTCAAAGACATATGCTACCCAGCTGATAAAGGAGCTAGTGACAGAGAGGTACTCTGGAAATGGTGGCATAAGAGAGCACATATTAAGGATGAGCAATTTAGCATCAAGCTAAAACCAATGGATCTGGTTCTCAAGGAAGAGATCTTTATCCATCTGATTTTTGCTTTCTTGCCAAAAGAATTTGACACTTTTGTTGTCAACTATAACATATAGCCCGAGAAGTGGGACTTAGAGAGGCTCATGGTTATGTGTGTGCAAGAGGAGGAGAGAATAAAAGCTGCCAATGGTGGCACTATCAATTATGTGAAAGACAACAAGAAAAAGAATAATATTGCTAATTCCTCCTTAAAGTCAAAGGGAAAGGGTCCCATGCTGCATCAGCCTTAGCAGAACAAGTTCACAGTAGAGAAAAACCAGTGTCTCTATTGCAAGAAGACGGGACATTATAAAAAAGATTGTCCAGATTACTTAAAAATGATCATGGCAAAGAAAGGTGAGAATATTATTACGTTCATAAATGAATCCCTGTATGTACAGTATTCAAAATCTACTTGGTGGATTGACTCAGGTGCAACTGTTCATGTTGATAATTCTTTACAGGGATTTCGTTCGACGAGGACTACGCAAAAAAGAGAAAGACACATTAATGTTGCAAATGGAGTCCGAGCAGATGTCGAAGCCGTTGGAGATCTTTCTCTAGAGCTTTCTGATGGCTTCACACTTTTACTTAGAGATGTACTTTATGTTTTCTCTTTACAAAGAAACTTCATGAGTGTTTAATGCTTGGACAATGATGGATATGATTGTTATTTTGGAAATGGCAAATGTAAGATAACATTTAATAATGCATGTGTTGGTCTTGCTATCTTACAAAAATGAGCTTTATTTGTTATCACCACGTGATGATGTGAATGTTGTATGCGATGATGGAAACATTGCGTGCGACAATGAGAATGTATCCTCGTTTGCGGATGTAAACAGAAAACGAAAAAGAGCTCACGATGCGTCGTCGAAATTATGACACTGTCGTTTAGGCTATATTTCGAGGGGGAGAATAAAAAGACTAGTTAACAATGATATTCTTCCTCCATTAGAGTTCTCAGATTTAGAACAATGCAGAGAATGCATAAAAGGAAAGTATGTAAAGAAAATTAAGAAAGACGCCAAACGAAGCGTAGGAATTTTACAGATTATTCATACAGACATATGTGGTTTGTTTCCTATAAAGAGTGGATGGTTATGATTTGTTTATAACATTAACAGATGATTACTCCCGTTATGGCTACATTTATCCAATCAAAGAAAGAACAGAAGCATTGGATAAATTTAAGATATTTAAGGCAGAAGTTGAAAACCAACATAATTTAAAGATTAAGCTAGTCAGGTCTGACCGTGGGGGGAGTACTACGGTCGGCATACCCCATATGGCCAAGTTTCTGGACCTTTTGCAAGGTTCTTATAGGAGAATGGTATAGTAGTCCAGTATTCTACACCGGGTGAACCTCAGCAGAATGGAGTAGTTGAAAGACGCAATCGTACCCTGATGGATATGGTGCGCAGTATGATAAGTTACTCCACCTTACCGTTGAGCCTATGGATGGAGACGTTAAAACCGCCATTCATATTCTCAATAGAGTACCAAGTAAGTCGGTGCCCAAAACACCATATGAGTTGTGGACTGGAAGAGTACCCTCACTAAACCACTTACGTGTGGGGGGGAGTCCTGCTGAGGCTAAAGTATTTAACCCAAACATTGGGAAGCTAGATCCCAAAACAGTAAGTTGCCATTTCATTGGCTACCCAGAAAAGTCAAAAGATTTTTGTTTCTACTGTCCAGACAGACATACAAAGTTTGTGAAAACGAGACACGCTGTCCTTCCTAAAGGATGAAATGATGAGGGGGAGCATGGTAGTTTGAGAAATTAACCTTGAAGAGAAGTGGATGTATGCGCCCACTCTGATGATTCATGAGTCATTTTTCTCACTGCCTGCTGTCGCTGCACCGACAGTGCAAGATACAGTGGTGCCAGCACCTGTTGTTATTTCGCCTATGACAACAATAAAGGACGATGAGGAACCTATTCTTTAGGACCATGTAGAACCTATTGCCACACATGAGGGGGGGCAACAACAGTCTCAAACAAAAGATGTGCCAAATATGAAGGCCCCTAGAAGGTCTCAAAGAGTTAGAAAATTAGTTATTCCTGCTGACTATGAAGTATACAACACTAAGGAATTTCAAATGGAGGATGATCCCACCTCATTTGAAGAAGCCATAAGAAGCGATCATTCATCAAAGTGGCTTGAGGCCATGGAAGATGAAATAAAATCTATGAATGCCAATAAAGTTTGGGACTTGGAAATAATTTCCAAAGGAGCCAAAACAGTAGGCTGTAAATGGGTCTACAAAACAAAACTTGACTCTCAAGAGAATATAGAGAGATATAAAGCGCAACTTGTGGCAAAAGGCTTTACGCAAAGAGAAGGGATTGATTACAATGAGATATTTTCTCCAGTCTCATATAAGGATTCCTTCAGAATCATAATGGCATTAGTGGCACATTATGATTTAGAATTACATCAGATGAATGTAAAGACGACATTTCTCAATAGGGACTTGAAGGAAAATGTTTACATGGCACAACCGAAATGTTTTGTCATGGAAGGAAAGGAACGAATGGGATGCCACCTAAAGAAATCCATTTATGGATTAAAACAAGCTTCAAGACAGTGGTACTTGAAGTTTGATCAGACAATAAGGAATTTTGGGTTTAAAAAGAATGTAGAGGACAATTGTGTCTATGGAAAGTTCAAGAATGGGAAGTTTATCTTCCTTATCCTGTATGTGGATGATATCTTACTTGCTAGTAGTGATGTCAGTCTACTGCTGCAGACAAAGAAGTTTTTATCCTAAAAATTTGATATGAAAGATCTTGGTGAAGCTTCGTTCGTTCTAGGGATCGAGATTCACCGAGATAGAAGTAAAGGGATATTAGGACTCTCATAAAAGGCATACATAGAAAAGATCTTAAAGAAATTAAGTATGCACAAATGTAGTCCCTCACCTGCTCCTATAGTCAAGGGCGACAGATATGGGGATTTCAATGCCCCAGGAACCAATATGAGACCGATCAAATGAAAGCGGCTCCATATGCTTCAGCTGTCGGAAGCTTGCAATATGCTCAAGTATGTACACGCCTTGACTTGGCATTTGTTACCGGGTTACTTGGCAGATTCCAGAGTAATCCTGAAACAGAACACTAGAAATTGGTAAAGAAAGTCTTGCGTTATTTGTAAGGAACGAAAAGCCACATAATGACGTATAGAAGATCAGATTCACTCTATATAGTGGGATATTCTGATTCTGATTATGCGGAAGATGATAGAAAATCCACGTCTGGATATGTATTCACTCTCGCAGTGGGAGCTATTTCATGAAAAAGCTTAAAGCAAACCGTCATTACATTGTCCACAATGTATGCCGAGTTTGTAGCATGTTATGAGGCAGCGGGGCAGGTGAACTGGCTAAAGAAGTTCATACCCGGTTTTAAGGTGGTTGACGATATCTATAGACCACTTAAGTTATACTGCGATAATAATCCGGCAGTACAGTATGCTCACAACAATAAGTCAAGTGGTGCTGCTAAACACATTAACATAAAGTATTATGTTGTGAAAGATAAAGTCCGGGATCATGTCATAAGTCTTGAGCATATAAGTACCGAAAAGATGCTCGCGGATCTGATATTAAAGGCTTACCACCCAACGTGTTCACAGAACATGTAGCCGGTATGGGTTTAAGGGAAAGCCTATAATTCCTGGACAAAAGAAGGCCCAAGTTAAGTATCTATTTCAGAACAGAGTGGTGTGTTGTAGCTGTTAAATCTATTGACAATTGATCGTGATGATGAAACATGCTCTATGCGCTAATCTGTAATGGAATCAATAAAAGTAAATGATATGAAATTGAAAGATGGTAGGAGATCAAGGATGAGATTGTTAGATTGATGTCTAATCCCAAACTGGACCCAACGGCCCAGTTGAGCCTTTGATCCGCGCCCTGATCGGGGGCGCACATCCCACTATGGCTGGAGGGCCCCTGTCACACTGCGCACCGAGGACGGGAGGGCACCTTGTCGAAGGAGCCGATGCGCGGCGCGGCCGGCACGACGATGGGCTACGCGACGACAACCGGAGTGGCCAAGCGGGTGGGGGTGGGCGGCCACAGGAGGTCGGCGCGTCGCCTGGGGATGGGAGAGCGGGGTGCGGCCGCGCCGGCCTGCGCGGGATGGGGCGCCGAACCAGTCGGCGGGGCGGGGCGCACGGCCGGCCGGGAGCGGCTACGATGGTCGGGGCGGGGGACGGCGAGGACGAGCGGCGCCGGTGGCGGGAGGTGTCAGGCGCGAGAGAGAGTGGGAGAGAACGGAAGATAGGAAAAGGAAGAAAGGAAGAGAGAAAGAAAACAACCAGCGCTTGTAAGGGCGGCTCGGCGCCAGGATCTACGACGTCAAGCTTGGCGACAAGATCCACGGCGCCGAGTTGGCTGCCATGTCATCTCCGGCTCTACTTTGATGTCGACGTGGCCCCCGACCTAGGCGCCAAACACTTTGGCGCCGATACGTATAATCTCGGCTCCGAGTTTAGGGTCTAGATTTTAAAAACATAACTCCAGTGACATATTTATGAAAAACTTTTAAAAACAGACAAAAAATAAAAAAAATTCAGGCAGCGAACCAGCTTGCCCCTCCCTTGCTTGTCGGTGGCGGCCGTCGGCATCGACGCATCTCTCGGCCCCGGAGGCCCGGAGCGTCACGAGGCTGCCTGATTGGGAGAGAGCGAGTGGGGCTGGTTGGGGATAATCCCATTCCCATCCGGCCCACCAGGTTGAGGCTGGCCCACTAGTCACTAATGGCTGCTCATGGCTGGGCTGGCTAATGCCGCCTGCCCAACAACCAACCCCTGTGGACGGGTGCGTGCCAATGCGCCATGGTGGACTGCTGCTGCCGCCTGCTACTGCCACGCTCCATGAGTTGAGGGTCACCAAACTGCCCCTGATTTGTGCTGATCGGCCGGCGCGTACCCTTCTTTCGTCTACGGGCAGAGTCCGGTTGACTGTTTCTTCATTGGAGGCTCCGTTCGCTGGTCTAAAACTTGACTAAAACTGGCTGCTTTTGTGAGAGAGAAACACTGTAGCGGCCGGTTGATGAACAGTGGCTTATGAGGGGATCAGTAGGTTGACTTTTCAATTCCAAAGCAGCAGTGCAAAGCTGCCCACCGATGGGCACAGGTCCTTTTTTAACTCCGTTTTTGTACGTACATACACTGTCCCGCCTGTGTCTAATCTTAAACAAAAAACCTGTCATCTCATTATCATCCAATCGGCGCGTACCCTTCTCGTTCTTGTTCTATCGGTTCGCCGAGCAGAATATAGAGCTGCGTACAAGATCCGGAGAGGATTGCGAACGAAAGGAAGCACGGCGCACGTGCTGCTCTCCTGGATCCGATCCAGATCGACTCGATCGGCCTCAGCAGCGATGGCAATGATCGCGCGCGCTGCTGGACGTTACGTCATCTTGCATTGCAGAGGCGGAACGGAAACAGAGAAAGCCACGGCGCTTTGCCGACCGCGACGCGCTGACACGGGGATGCATGGCCCCGTTTAGCGGCCATCAATGAATGCATTGCAAGCTGCCAAAGGGCTTCCCCAACTCTGTCTTTTTACCGTAGCTCCAAATGTCATATAGGATAGGATAAAAAAAAGTAAATGTTCTATGTTTATTACATTAGCTTGTATAAGCTATATATATTTGGAGAGAGAAGGTGGTCCATGCTAAAAAAAGAAGAGAGGGATGAAATAAAGATGAGGTATGATGAAAGGAAAAGTTTTTTTTGCAAATCACATGTAGTAATAGTTTGCATTATGTGAATAGTAATATCAACATTTACTAATCTATATAGATCACTTTATTTATACTTAGAACCACTAGATGTATTAGAGCAGTCTTAATGAAAGAAACTAGTAGTTTCTATAACATAGGATACCGCACCAAAAAAGTACTGCTTTCCAACCCATGGTTTCTATGAGTAATAATTATTTTCTCTTTCTCTCTCCCAACTCTATCTTCTTTCTCCAATGGGAATGCGGCACGAGCCCCCTAGAAACTGGTGGTTTCTCCTTAATGGCGATTTCATGGTTTCTTGGTGCATTGGGTCAAGAGAAGACCTGGTTTCTTCGTGAGGAAACAATTTCTATGATTTTTGCTCTCTTTCTTTATTAACTACGTTGCGATGTCAACATTTTACCTATATAACAAGTCATTTAATAAAGATAAAAATCATCATCAATACACCATCGAGACTGTCTTAGCCTCCTTCGGTGGTGCCCTGATCAGTCGGGGGCGCTCTCATCCGTTCCTAAAGTTTGGGTCATGCTCCAGGATCAGGTACGAGCTGCGCTGCTCTACGCCAGAGCCATGTGCTGCGATGAGCGAGGCTCCAGGTAGCTAGGACGCGTTCCCAACGTGAGCATGTCGTTCTACGGCGCGTCCTGCAAACCGCACCGGAGAGGGAGTGTTTGGTAAAAGATCATCGTAGAGAAAGGTGCAAGGTTTCAGTTGCTTGGAATGGAACGCACCTCGATTCACCTGACCGAGTGACCGTCCACAACCCACCCAGCAGCTTCCTATCCTTTCCTATCGACATCATCATTCTCCCCTTAATTCGCAGCAGGTCACGTCAACTGGCAGTTGGCTTGCTTGCCTCTTCGTATCTTTTCCTTTCCGGACGTGGCAAGGAAGCGAGTGCGAGCATATCCGATTCCGGCCACTAGAGGGTCCACAGCTTCACAGCTGCCCTACATCCAAGTTCAGCTCAGCAGCGCACCCAACACCATTACACCAGTATAATAGGCCTGCACAGAAATTTTCTGTCTCAAGAGAAAAGAGAAAACGGGCTGGTCTCCAAAACAGACTTTATTACATGTAATAACGTATGGTGAGCTCCTTGTCAGACTCCATGACAGCGAGCCATCAGATTTTAGGAAGGTATATATGATGTGTAAACCTGAGAAAAGATCTGGATGCTTCATTTTGAGGTAGTATTCATGCTTCGTGGATATGCAATTTGGAATGTACGGTGCGGAGGAAATACCGCCTCTGTGAAAAGCAACAGTTAGTGCCAGTGTAGGTGTAGGAAAGAATTGAACTTGTGAATTACTCCAGTATTTTTCTTTTCTTTTTTCTGCCGGTTGGGGGAGGACAAAGAAGATAATCAGCCTGTTCGCTTGTTGGTTTCAGCCAGCCCAAACCAGCCAGCCAACAGTGTTTTTCTCTCCCAAAAGACTAGCACCAGTCAGCCCAAACCAGCACCAGCACCAACCAGCCAACAGGCCCAATATGGACCTGCCGTCCGCCCGTGAGGGCCTGTCTCTCGGCCTCCTCCCCATCTGGAACGAATAGAGGTCCAATCCGGTTTCGAGTCGAGCTGAGTCGATCAGATGGGCCTAAGTAGGCCGGAAACGTTACGCAAAGGGCCCGTTGCTCTATCTGCTTTCTGCTAGTACCGTGCATGTGCGGATGGGCCTAAGTGGAAATCCAACACGGGAATACATGTCAATTTACCTTTCTTTTTTACTGCTTTTTCTGCGAAACGATTACTCTATAACTTCCCTGATCATAGAAATCACAGATGTGAAGCTTCAAAGTGGAAGTCTGTCACACGTGGAGTTCGTTATAAGAGTTGAGAATTCCTAGAGTATTTTCTCGTTAAAAGGACAACATTTCCAGATTCCAGATTGCTCAGCAGTCAGCACATACTACAACAAGATTCGAATTTACCTGCAGATCAATAATAATCTCAGATTCTCAGATCTTTCTGTACGCTAACCTTTGTGCAGTTGTGCCAGTAACATGTACGGATGTACCAATGAATAAGTTTTCTGAACAAAACGCTACGCAAGTACTACTATTGACTATCCTTTCCTTTATAACAGTCCTGTGTTGCTTGGAGTACTGTAAGGATGGAGATGAGGACAGTCTCCAAAGCAAAGGAAAAAGGCGAAACCAGTCGATCGGCGACGAGCAGAACCACGGCGCAGACCGCAGAGCGTGAGCACTATACGGCGCGCCTCTGTTCGGCGCCTCGGCGGCTCCTAATTCCTATCCGAGCCGCCGTAGCCCGACCTGACGCTCGCAGAAACACCCAAGAATTCGTGGCTGGACGCCTGGACCGGACAAAAACCTTTGCTGGAGATAGAGCTCGGCGATGGCGACGCCGCCGTTTGTTGGCATCGGGATAGTCATTAACTCTAAGATTGAGAGCGGTGTTCTCTTATCCTTAGTCCTGATCGTTTGGATTTGTTTAGCTGATAAGCCATGGCTGAAAGTACTATTAGTTGATTTGGTGTAAGAGAAAAATATTATGATAAGCCATGACTGAAAGTACTATTATCTGATTTGGTGTAAGAGAAAAATATTATTCCTCCGTTAATAAGTCATGACTTATAAGCCAAACACGACTTAACGAACAGGCTGCTTAGGAGGAGCCGCGATCAGCTCATCAGCTTTTTTTTTGTCCCTTGCTAGTTGTAACTTTTTTCTCTCATCACCTCATCAACTTTTTTTTGTTGCTTGTGGTAACTGGATGGGCTTGTCGTAGTGTCGTTACTCGTTGGTGGCTTTGGTGCGAGACCAAAAGCTGTGTGCCGTGGGCGGAGCGGGGGACTGCATTTCTGACCGAGCTTCTAGTCCTCTAACAGATTCAGATCCAATTAAAACGGTTTCATCTATCAGCAGTTTCCACACTAAAACTTTACACCTGTCACATCGAATATTTGATACATGCATAGAGTATTAAATATAAACTAAAAACATAACTAATTACACAGTTTACGACTAATTTACGAGACGAATCTTTTAAGCCTAATTAGTCCATAATCTGACAACAAAATGCTACAGTACATACATGTGCTAATGATAGATTAATTAGTCTTAATAAATTTGTCTCATGGTTTACTGACGGATTCTATAATTTATTTTTTTATTAGTATCCGAACACCCCATGCGACATCCCCATGTAACATCCGATATAACACCCCCAAAACTTTACAGGCTGGATCTAAACAAGACCTAAACATATTTCCTCTGTCCCAAAACTAATAAATATCTTGATTCCTAACTCCTTAGAAATCAAATGATCTTAAATTTTACTAGATTTACATAAAATAGTATATTTGTATAGTCAAATATATTCATTATGAAAACATAAAGGATATTGTATAATTCATCTAGTGATATTTATTATTACTTCCTTCGTTCTAAACTATGAAACATTTTGGCTTTCCTAAATATCTTACTTTTACTATGTATCTAAATATATTATGTATCTAAGTGTATAGCAAAAACTATGTATCTAAAAAAAAGCTAAAATATTTTATAATTTGGATTGGAATGGAGGAGTACATATTATAACTTAAAATAGTTTGATTCTAGAAAAAGAAGTTTTTGCGGCTGAGGCGGTAGAATAGGCAAGGCTCCTTTTTATAAACAGAAGCAAGCAACACTCCGGCTAAAGTGCTAGCTCCGAATGAGTGATCTGCAGCAGCACATACACAACCATGTCTGGCAAGGTCTATTATTATTTTTTTTTTTGCCAGAAGCCTGATCGCGGGCGTGGTTAAGTAGGGGTGTAATTAGACAGGATGTCTGTTCGATGTTCGTTTCGCTGAAATTTGGCTGTTTGTGATACTGATTTGTTGTAAGAGAAAAACACTGTTCGTTCGCTGAAAAGTACTGTTGAAAAACAGGGTGACTATTGATTCTGTGCGTGATAATAACAAGTATAATTTATCGGTGCTTGTCCCAATAATAATAAGCTAGCTATTTTTCATTATTTTTTTTGAGATTTAGCCTAACCTTATATTACAGTAAATGATTAATCCTATATGAAAAATTGGCATGAGATTGACTCAACTCAAACATGTAGCTATTGTATGCACATGTGTAAGTTTAACAAAGGTTAAAAGTGAGACATATGCCCACACACGTGTGAAGACGCGAATGAGCTCACAGAGCCAAAACAAGAGATGAGTGGCGTAACACCAATGAAAGATTAATAGCTAAACTCAAAGCAAGGATGATAAGAGTGAAGGGCGATGACCCAAGAGACATAGAGGAGTGAGCAAGGGTAGAAGGGGCCTGAGAGAGAGTAAAGAGAGAGTGAGAGATGGAACAAAGCCAAACTCAAAGAAAAAAAAGATGCAATGAGAGATGGAAGAAATCTAAACTCAAAGCGAAAGGCTTCCATGGACAAAGAGAGTGAGTGAGGGACAGAGGGATGGAGGGCGTCAGAGCGAAGAGAGTGAGAGACAAAAGGAAGAATTTTTCGTTATTTAATATTAGCTATAGATATTTTTTTTTAGATTTGGAGTGGAACACGGATAGCTGTTGAATACAGTACAAATATGGCCCCGACTACAAATACAAATAATTATGTTCCCAATATGGGACAAGTTGAATGAATAGTTTCGGTTACAAATATTTCTTGGAAATAAGCAAATTAATACAATAGATAATAGCATCAGGTGCATTGGCATGACATTTACTTTAAGCCTGTTGTCTTTTGGTACTCGAATTTTTTTTAACTCCTTTTGGTACTCGATTTACGTGACATTATAACTTATGGCGTAGTCATACCGATTCATAACTAGGTTCATAACATAAAAGAGTCAAACAACTCTATGAAATATATTTATATTATCACAAAATATAGGGAAATGAAGATGGGAACAGGGGAATTAAAACAAAATATATATATATATATATATATATATATATATATATATATAAGAAAGAAAAGAGCAGGAAATATAAACGTTGGAATATTAAATGTATAAGAAGGGACAAAACAAAATAAATATAAAAAATACTCCCCCATTCTAAATTGTTTACTATGTATCTAGGTATACAGTATATCTAAGTGTATAATAAAACCTATATATTAAAAAACTAAAATAATCTATAGATTGGGAACGAAAGGAGTATATTACTATAATAATATAAACAGAACATTAAAGAGTTGTGGTAGCAAGTCATGCGCACGCAATGCAACATGTCAACACCACAATGCAACATGTCGACACCACAACAGCGAACTGCCTAGCTACAGGAGTAGAACTTTAGTCCCATCTAATAAGGCAAGACATGGTGTAGCGAGAAGATCCACTAAGCAAACCGGACATCATCTCAACAGATTGCTGAGAAGCCAGGTACTTCCTCCGTTTTGAAATATAATGTATTATAACTTCTAAAATTCATACTGAATATGAGGTATTCTATATGGTGCCTATGCTCAAATTTAACAAAAATAATTGCTAAAGGAAACATAATTTGAGAAAAAAAACTTCATAATTAGGTTTAATTCATGGGCACATGTGTCATTTGGATATTTCTTAAGTTGTTCTTAAAATAAATATTACTCTCTCGATTCTAAATTATAAGACGTTCTAATATTCTAGGTACATAAATTTTGTTATGCATTTATATATACACTTATATCTAGATATATAGTAAATGTTAAGAATTATTATTAGTGATCAATTTATTGTTAATCATGTCATTAGCAGTTGCTAATGATGGTTCCAGAATAGGCAGAGAGAGACACCTTTTAGGCATAGAGAGGCACCTTTTCACCAACACACAACTGCCCATTGGGCTTGTACATATGTACACAACAGTGTTCATCAGGGAATACACATCCGTCAATTTTCATTCAACACGTTATCACGCACGCACGCTCCACACTGCTGACGCGAATAGGAGAAGGAAGGAGAGAGAGTTCGCCGGAAAACTCGCCGGAGACTTCGCCGGTGTTGCTGTTTCCCAAGGTAGAAGATGGCAAACCCCAAACCTTCCATGAATGCCATGGTCGACTCCATCACCGATGCAGTGGAGTCCGCCATCCACCGTGGCCATCACGCTAGAGGCCTTCGCCGCTTCATGCTCCAGGGCGCCGTCCGCCGTGCCCTCTGGGACATCTCCGACCACCGCATCCCTCCTCGCCGCTTCCATGGCATTCGCACTAGAGGGAGCAGTGGCCGCCATTCATCGCCATGCCCGGAGTCTTCGCTGTAGTTCACCCCCGATGTCTGCCCGACGCATGGTCCTACCATCTTCGTCAGGCGCGTGGGGGCATCGCCGATGACGTCGCCGATGCCATCGACGTTGCCGAGGCCGCCGGCGACGCTGCTACCGCCACCACCACCGATGCCGTCGCTTCCCCTCGCGCTGCCTTTGAACCGCGGTAGCGGCACCATGGCTGCGTGTCGTGGGGCCCCTTCGCCCTTCAACAATGGCGCTGGAGTGGTGCGGTGGCCGCCCGGCTTTGCCTATGACGTCGACATTACCCTCCCACCGCCACCTCCACCGACACGGTCGCTCTCCTACGCCGACGTGGCGGCCAACCGCCGCCAGGGCCTGCACCAGAACGTCCTCCCACCCAGAAACACTGTTGGAGCCAGATTCGTCTCCTCCTCGGACGAGGAGGGGGCGGTTCCCCGCCTTTGAGAGGTCTGGGACGGGCCGGTGGGGGCGGATCTGTCGTTCTTGGCTCGCAGCGATGGCCCTTATGGCCGGAGCTCGTTGGGGATGGGTGGGATCTGCCCTGCCTACCGGCCTCCATGGCCAAAGTAAGGGCCTCGCCCTGAGCCCGCCATGAGAGGAGGGGGAGGAGGAAGAGGAGGCACACGACGACAAGAGGCATCGGTAGGAGCAGCGGCGGCGACGGCGGTGACCAGGCGGCAGCGGCGGTGGCTGGAGGTTGGTGCGGTTAGGGTTTCCAAAACCCTAACCGCCACCTCAGATAGGCCCCGTGGTGGTGGCTGAGTGGGTCAAACGGTGGCCTAGGCCTCAGGTTCTGACATGGTGCCTGGCGCCTCCTCCTATTTGGTGGGCCGCTGGGCCGGGTGGGCCGGGCCATGCCACAGTTGGTCACTGGGCCATGCCTGCTTCTTTGGGCTGGGCAGCTTGCTGGGCCGGCAGAGCTCTGACTACCACTCGCCTGGGCCAAATTTGCCTGTTTCATGCTTAGAAAATTTGTTTCTTTGTTATTTTCTTTTCGGCAGTAGTACAATTAATTAGCATATGGTTTAACTAATTTAATTTTCTACAAGAACTTCAGTTTAACTAATTTAATTTTCTACAAGAACTTCAGTTTCACGCTCTGTACATGTTGTACCTTGTCATTGTATATAAATGTGGTTTGATTTTATTATATTACAATGCAATATGTGATTTTATTATATTTTGGAGTATGTTGGTGCACCCAAAACCCCTTTTACACCACATACATATTACACTTGTAACTTTGATTATTAAATTGGAATATGTTGGCGCACCCAAACCCCCTATTTTTGCACCAACATATATGTTGCATTTGTAATTTTATAATAGAATTGGGTATATTGGTGCCCCCAAACCACTTTCGCACCACATACATGTTAAATTAGGTAGTGACTTAGATGTAATTTAATAAAGTTATTCACAGAATTAGAAAAACTTTAATTACTGTAGGTTTAACATTGCAATATATATCTTGATTATTTTGGTTAATTAACACAAGGTAATGGAGTCTATGACATTGGCTGCGGTTAATTCCTTGTGAATTATTCTGCCTAGAGATCGTGCCATAGCAGTGTTTAAATCACCCGTTACTGAGAGGTCTACATCATATTTCCTCTGAGACTTGATGCTTACCTACATTGTGTTTTTACCCAAAATAATGGTTTTTGGGTTGTTATAAATGATCTACATCCACGCAATGATTACCATTTTCATCATATTATTTTTCTATTACACAAGATGGTAGAGACCTAAGCAATGGTTGTGTTTAATTCACTTTTGAATTATCCTACCCAGAGATCATGCTTAGGCAGCAATATATTTGCCTACCATAAAGATCTAATATTTGTCTTTGACTTAGAGACTATCTGTCTTGTGTATATCAAAAATTAATGATGATTTGCTATATGGTCTACACAATTTTGTGATTACCTACAACACTCCAAAACTATGATAAGATATAAACTTTAAAAATATTGCATTTAGTATTACAAAATTACCATGTTGATTTTAATTTACCATACGGTAAATTAATTAATCCATGGTTGTCCATGTAGGATCATGGCCACTAAGGAGTTCAAGGAACTCGCGTTAAATGACAGCAATTACCCTACATGGGCTTCTGATATAAGATAGTGCTTGCATCTCGTTGTCTTTTGGCTACAATTCAGGAACCCCAACCTAGGGTTGTCCTGCAAGATAAGCATACCTATACTACTTTGGTTTTGCTACGGTTTTATATTTATAAGGACCTTAAATCTAAATACCTATGATTGAAAATCCTCGCAAATTATGGGTTGCTCTTAAAGAGCGATATGAGCAGCAAAAAGAACTTATTTGGCCTGACGCCAATCATGAATGGAATCATTTACGTAAGATTTCAAATATGTGGCAGACTATAATCACGTTGTCCATAGGATTTGTTCTAAGTTGAAGTTTTGTGAGAAAGCCAAAGGATGCAGACTAGATAGAGACAACACTCTCCACTATGCTTCCATATGATAGAGTATTGCAACAGCAATACATGGCTCATAATTACCAGCCTTATTCCTAGCTTATTCATACATTGACTCAGGCAGAAAAACATGATGAATTTCTTCTGAAGAGTCATCATAAGCGCCCTGTTGTTACAGCGCCTTTGCCTGAAGTTCACAACGTACAGAAAAATACTAGGAATAAGTTCAATGGATCTTTTCCAAAGAACAAAACTGGTAAACACAAACACAATAGGAGACAAAGGCCTAATTCAAACAAGAGGAAGAGGGACAATGTGAAATCCAAAAATGACAATAAGTGCCATAGATGTGGAGATTTTTCGTATTTTGCCAAGAATTGCCGTGCACCTAAGCATCTGGTTGCTTTGTACCAAAAGTCCTTAAAAGAGGTCAAGCCAGCAGGAGACACAAGATATGAGGCACACTTCAATCTTGCATCTGCGGCTGTCCCGAAAGAGGGTTGTTCCAATCAGGCCTCTAAAGAACAAGTGAACAACAATTCTCTTAACATTGAAGAGAACCTTCCATCGACGGACAACATGCTCCTAGACTTTGGTTCTGGAGACATGTTTGGAGATTTGGAGTAATCTCGGTCCAACATTTGATATCTCACTTGATAAATGTTGTAATAGTTTAAGTCATACAAACATATAGTTGTTTTGGGTTGTATTATTTAGTGTGCTTGAGAGTTGTACAAACTTCTTTATATTATTGTTAAGTTGTACCAACTTATTGATATTGTAATATCATACTCTTGTACTTGATATTCAATATATTGTATGTATAATTCTATATGTTACATTTTAGTATTTTAATTATATTTGTTTTACATATAGATGTCTATTGATCTCAAACTAAAGGAGAAAGAATTATGCCTTGTGGACTCATGTACCACAAACTCTATACTTAGAGAGATGAAATATTTTGACTCTTAAGAAAAGAGAAGGAAATATTATGACCATCACTAGTCGCGATGCGTTAATAGTTGGTTCAGGAAGAGCCACTATTACTCTCCCTATGGGTACACAAATTACAATGGAGGATGCCTTGTTGTATCCCAACTTGACTCACCCTTCTAAGTTTTAGAGACGTCCGTAAGAATGGTTTTCATGTTGTTTACACCAAAATTTGGAAGAAGAGTCACAGGGACTCAAAAGCTCCCAAGATCATGTCAGCAGGGAATCAATTACGTGCAGATTAGGATTAGCTGATTTGAATGTAGCACTGGAATCGGCTTTCTTCGGGCAGCGCCGGCAGATAATGACAAAGGCTACGATCGGCGCTAGGATGCAACATGATGGACTCTACAAAAGGGGAAAGATTAGAGTTCAAGTTATCTTAAATTAGGAATGTTTTCTCTAGGGTCAAAAATTATGATGAGTCGTGTTTAGACAGGAGTCATGCGCAGGCCCCGAGTATAAATATCAAAGCCCGTCTATTGTAAAGGACACACAATCAATCAAATATAAGTTATTTACTTTTTCGGCTCCGGCCACCCCTTAGGAGTAGGAGTAGAGTAGATCTCGGCGAGTTCTTCAGCAAGTAGGGCTGCATCGATCCGATCGACCTCCACTACTTGTCTGTAAGTATCATCATGGCTTATACCTCTGTTCGTACGGCTGCATCGATCCGGTCGACCTCCACTGCGACTCTGGTATAAGTTAGTTATCGACTCTTGTCTAGTTCAAGTACGGCTGCATCGATCCGGTCGACCTCCACTGCTCAAACTAGATTAAGGTCAAGTTATCAGCTCTATCAAAGGGTGGCGTTCCTTCGGATAGATTCATTAAGTTACCGATATTGCTTTCCATTGTTTATTTAATTATAACAATATCACTTCGCCCGATTGGGATTGATCTAGATCGGCCTTATATCCTTTTTAACCCATCGTTTTTTAATCTAAACTAATCTAATCTGTACTTTAAAAGATGAGTTATGTTTTATCGGCTGTTTTACATCAATCTTGATCGTGCATAGCGTGCGGTTAAGGCGTGTTTGATCATGAGTAGATCTAGTGGCCAGCGAAAACTGTTCCATGGCCCATTATCACGGCCTGTGTGATTCTGCCTCACACCCCACTATTAGCACCGTGGAGTGAGGATCGTTATTTGGTAGATCTGTTCCTGCGAGGACATGACCTTAACTATGCGCTATGCCTGAATCGGCTGTTTTAGCCGATATCGAGCGCTTTCACGAATAGTTCGCATCATGAGATCGTTGAAGTAGCAATAGGTTGAAAGATGTGTTAGCCCCATGATCTTATTATTGTATTATGGCCTGCATGATTCTGCCTTATGCCCCACTGATATTAGTAATAAGTTAGGATCATCGAGTCTATTGTTGTTTCTACGGCCTACATGATTTTACCTCATGCCCCACTGGTCATAGCGATAGATGAGATCTAATATGTTTATTAGATTTATTTCTATTAAATGGTTGAATGATGATGAATTGTTTCTTTCATAAAAAGGGGTTCGGTTACTTGCAGTCATTGGCTTAGCATGAACTAATTACTATTGACATCTTTTTGCCAGTGACCAATATTTGTTTAAACAATGATATTCATAATGATAACCGATTCTTCTTACACAACTCCATGAGCTTTAATCGATTTATTCTTATGAATATGCTAGAATCAACTATTTAGTCGATCTCCTTTCATATCGACTCTCAGAGCCGCATATTCAAGACTGTCTGGCAACACCAGCATGTTCTGCCCTTAATTACTGATAAGATTTCTCTCCTTGTCAATTGTAGGGTCAAATTAACTGGCACGTCTCGGGAGGACCCTTCCGGCTTGCTCGTGTGTCCTCGGCGCGAGACGAAATTCCATGTCGACACGTGTTTCTGGCACGCCCGGTGGGACCCCACAATCGTCATGGCGGTTCACAACAACAACGACATCCTTATGCTGCATTATAAAGATCTACCTGATGGGGATAAGGGTATCATCAGCAAAGGTACAGAAGAGTTTCAGAATAAGTGTTTGTTGTCATACACCAAAACACGTGACAACACAATTGTTTAGAAATTTCCACTACTAAGAGTTCTATTACACGGGCAGACTGATACAACTAAAGATGAAGACATGCGTTTCTTTAAGGAAGTTGTAGACAAATCTATTCATGATGCTATATCAAGCCATAACGAAGCTTTCTTGGACATATTTCACAACGCCATGAGAGAAGTAATTCATGGGTTTCCAGTTGGTCGAGGTGGGCTGACTTATTATAACATTCTAGATCCGTCGACCCAAGGGACTAATCAAGTCGGTACCGGCCATCAAGAAACAGCACCAGCTGGTAATGGTGATGTCTAGACAGTTCAGGGTTCATCTGAATAGGTTTAAGGAACTACTGCGAATCAGATACAGTATAATCCTGGACCGCCAGTACAGCATGTGCAACAGTCGGCGGGGCAAGGTCAGAACCAGGTGATCAATTTTGGCACATCAGGCCACATACCATCGTCGGCTCAAAAAATAGCACCATCAATTCAAAGGATCCCTAGAGATATAGATCCTTATGTCTACAATCAAAGACTTCAAGCAGCAAGCCAGCAAATGACCTAGCAGATCGAGATTCCACACGGGTAGCACTATGGCATAGATTATAACACCCTTCATATGATGCAAAATCCAGGATATCAAGGCACGTGGGATTTCAATCCATAGATGGGTCAGCAAGTGCAGAGGAATCCAAATCCGCAAGCTGATGAATTATTGTTGAGGGTGACTGAGATGATGAAAAATCAGTTCGGTTTGAAGCCGAAAGGGCTAACCTTTTCGTACAAACGCCCATATCTAGAATGGTATGATTTGGTCGCTCTTCCCACAAATTATAGGCTCCCAGAATTCGCTAAGTTCACTAGCCAAGACAGTACAAGCACGATAGAACATATCAGTCGGTATCTTACACAATTGGGTGAAGCATCAGTTGAGGATGCCCATCGAGTTCGTTTCTTCTCCTTGTCCTTATCAGGGCTAGCCTTCACTTGGTTTTCATCACTACCAATCAATTCCTTTGCCAATTGGGCTGACCTAGAGAAGAAGTTTCATACATATTTTTACACTGGGACCGGAGAAAAGAAGATTACCGATCTAACAGCTATAAGACAAAAGACTAATGAATTGGGCACTAAGTTTCTTCAGAGGTTTCGAGAAACTAGGAACTTATGCTTCTCCTTAAACTT